ATAAATCGAAGTGACCTCTAACAAGGTATCATGACTACCTAATTCTTTAAAAGGATGAATTAATTTGTAATTACCTTTCATGAGCATGGTTTTCATATAATTCAATCCTCAAGTAAATTTATCGAGTGTGATCTCGAACTTGGTTTATAGTCTTTCCGATTGTAATCATATAAGTTATCTTTGATTCTCAAATGTCTTAGCTTTAAAGTAAACTAACTATATTCTATTAGTATACTCCCATTGTAACCACATATTTCTTAAGAAAATATTTATTGATGTGCAATGTGATAACGCCTTTATCATTCAAGGAATGACATATCCTATCTTAGTCATTTACCTATCTCCATTAGATTCCTAGTGCACCCAACAAATTACCCACATCTAGCTTTTGATCGAGCTCATTAGAACGAGTGTCAAAGTACATAAATCCTCTAATAAGATAATCATAATGACTTCAAGTCAAAACACTAGTTGTACCCATCTCATATGATATTTTTATAGACTAAACTAAATGGGTTCTCATGGTGAGTCACATCCAATGATATGTTTTCTAACATTAATCACCTAAGTGTTTACTTTGGCATACGGCTATCTTCTAGTAAGAGCACAACACTCATAAGTCTTACCGTATATACTCATTGTCCATTCTTGACAATGCTATGACTTAGAACATTTAATGATATTATTTATATACATTAATGTTTATTTTACACCTTTCGATCAATCATTAATGCAATGCATATAATATGGACTTCTATATAATTATATCAAATTGTAAAGAACGAGAATTAACATAAAGACTTCTTTTATTAATATATAAAAATGTAATAATACAATAAGTCAAATCATCTAAGTAGGTTGGATCATGGGCACCAAAAATAATAAAAAAATTTCTCTATCTAAGAGTTTAAAAAGGGCAAATCCATCGATGATCTAAAAGGCACTTTCGACTCACTTCGAAAAACTCAACTGTTTTAGCCAACAAGGTAAGCTCCTCACACCATTATCTCGCATTTATATTCTCATTAAATTCCAAAGCATTTGGATTGAAATTATGAATGGATATAATACTTTGATATATATATATATATATGTGTGTGTGTGTGTGTGTGTGTGCGTGCACACGCTATACACTAACATCATAAGCATCCACCTTTCGAGTTCTTTTCTCTTTCCTTACTTTAAAGAGTAAGCTATAAATTTACCTTAGTAGTCAGCTAAGCATAAGCGGGTGCGAAGAAGGAAATGCCAAACACTTCAACCTAACAGGAATGAGCAATGATGAAATGACAAGATGAGGTGCTCCGGCACCCCCATTTAGAAAAAAAAGTTAAAGGTTTTGGGCCTTGATAAGTGCCCATTTATGCATATTTTTAGTGCCAAATTTCTTACATTTTAATTGTCTTCGGTGATAAATGGTATAATTTTGGCACTTACCTTGCTTAAATTGTGTTTCTCGAGTCATATTATGTTATTTTGGTGAAAAGCAATGGAAACCAAGCAAGAATAAAGCAAAATTGATGAATATAATATGACTAGTGAATTACACAATTAAAGACACACTTGTGTAATAGGTTGTGTAACTAAAAAAAAAACTAAATTTTGAGACTTGGGCATACATGGGAAAAGACACACCATGTAATAGGTCGTGTAACTGTTCGATTTAGAGAAAAATGAAATTTTATATTACACGGGTGGAGACATGGTCATGTACTACGAAATGTGCATTTTTGCTCATATTTAAGTTGAAACGCAACTTAGGGTTTCGTGAGCCGACTTAGAGAGATAGAAAACACGACCTAGGGGCACAAGAAAAACTAGTTTTTGAGCAAGATAACACAATTGGAGTGAATTTTCATCAATTCTAGAGTCGATTGCATTAAGATTAAAGGGGTTATAATGTTTTCCCTGAATGATTATTGTTCTCTATTTAAGATTTATGTGTTATTCACTTTGACTATGAGCTAGATTATTTTGGTATCTAGATACGATGAACCCTAAGATTGACTATGTGATCTAATATCTTTATTCAATTCAATCTTTATTTTCGTTGTGATTAGTTATGTTGCAATTATTGTTTAATTGAATTAGCATATGCTAGCGTGTTGATTCATACCTGATTTCACACTCGTGAGACTAAAAAAATCCTAAGTGTGATTAGATCAACCATAACTAAAAAGAGTTGCATACAATCCTAGAGATAGGACGACATAAATCTTTTAGATTTGAAAGAGATTTTGATTAATCAACTTAGGATTAGATGTTAATTAACTTGAGAAAGTGGTTAGCATAATGTAGGAATTCCTACGATCCAATGAACACAAAGAATGCTTGAATGAATGATATTGTGATTACATAGAAGGTCTTGGGGGATTCGCTATCTAGGTACTATCTTTATCATTGATTGCTTAGTTAGCTATTTTTGTTATTCCTATTACATTTTTTGTGACCTCACTTTAGTTATTATTTCTTTTAATTGTTCACTATCACTATACTTTGTTAGTTAGATGATAAAAACAAGGTGATTACTAGTACTCATAGTCTTTATGGCATCAAGACTCGATACTTTATCGGTTGTACTATAAAACAATAGGTCCACTTACCTAAAGTCTATAGGTTAGAAGATGGCTTATCAAGTTTTTGGTGTCTGTTATCGGGGACATAGGATATTAGGAAAAATATTTTTTTTATTAATCTAGCCATTTTATTTTTGGTTATATTTATTTAGTTTCATTTTTGTTTATCATGTTTTCTTTGAATTACGCTCTTCTTTGTTTGTAATGCTTTTTCATGAGCCCGGTTAGTGTATGACTCGCAACAACCTAACTCGAATTAGTTGAGCTAGATCCTAAAATAGAAAGAATAGCTCTTCAAAACCTTAGAAATCAACTTAGAAAAAAAAAGAAAAAGAGCTAGATAGGGAAAGAGAAAAAGGACGTCGGAGGGAAGAAGAACCACGGATAGTCATGGTTGAGAAAGAGAGAACCATGTTTTATTATGCTAGACCAAACTTGACGGAAACGGAATCTAGAATTATCGGACTAACTATTATAGCCAATAATTTTAAGATCAAGTCGAACATCATTCAAATGATGCAACAATTTACGTAGTTTGATGGGTTGTAGGATGAAGACTCGAATGCTCACTTGGCCAACTTCTTGGAAATCGCGACACATTCAAGATCAATGGGACTATAGATGATGCTATCGGATTGAGACTATTCCCATTCTCACTAAGGACTAGAGCTAAGTAGTGGTTGAACTCTCTCGCCTAGAGGATCTATCACCACCTAGAACCAAATGGTAGAGAAGTTCCTAGCAAAATACTTTCCGAGTTGCAAAGACTGTGAAGCTCAAGAACGATATTTCCTCATTTATGTAGATTGAGTCGAGACACTTTATGACACTTGAGAGCGTTTTAAGGATTTATTGAGGAGATGCCCACACCATGGCCTTCCTATATAGATGCGGGTTTAGACTCTACGATGGACCGAATCTAGCTACTAGGCGGATGATAGATACGAGTAGCTAGAGGCACTCTAAATAACAAAACACACGAAACGACTTAGAAATTGATTGAGCGGATGGCTATGAACAATTACTAGTGGAGCATACCTAGAACAAAGCTAAATAAACTAGTAGGTGTTTATGATGTAGATGCGATAACAGTTCTAGTAGCTCGAGTGGAGGCTCGAGTAATAAGATTCATGGTCTATCAGCAGTGTGAGTTGTGTGGGGGAGTGCATATGAGCCGAATTGAAAAGAGGTAGTTAATTATATGGGTAATGCTCCTCGTTCTCAAAACAACCCATATAGGAATGCTTACAATCTTGGGTGGAGAAATCACCCCAATTTCTCTTGGGGAGGCCAAGGATAGTAGATACGGAATCATCTACCAGGATTCCAATAACAAAACTTATCTCGGGAGAAGAAACCCGGTTTGGAAGAACTTATGACTAAGTTCATTCAAATGTCTTAATCTCATTTTTAGGCAACCACAACAACATTGAGAAATCAAGAGGCTTCTATCCACAATCTTGAGAAACAAATTAGGCAACTTGCCAAGTCCTTTTCCAAGAGATAACAAGATACTTTGCTCGGTAATACCGAGACTAATCCCAAAGAACATGTAAAGGCGAGTCTCTCTTAGAAGTGAAAAGGAATTAAGGGTGGAGGAGAAGAAAGGTGAGGAAAAGAAAATAGTTGAAAAGGGTAAATAACGGAAAAAGCTTAACAAGCAACCTCAACCAGATGAAAGAGTTTGATCCTACCATTTCATATCCTGCAAAGCTACAAAAGGACCGCATGGATGAATAATTTGGTAAATTTATTAAAATTTTTAAACAACTGCATATAAATATACCCTTTGTTGAGGCTCTTTTGCGGATGAAAAAGTATGCTAGATTTTTAAAAGAACTTCTTTCAAACAAGAAGAAGCTAGAAGAGTCATCAACAAGTAACATTGAGTGAGGAGTGCTCTGCTATCCCGCAAAACAAGCTACCTCAAAAATTACAAAACCGAAGGAGTTTTACTATTCCTTGCTCATTTGGTAATTTCTTAGTTGAAAAGGCATTAGCTGACTTTGGAGCTAGTATAAATTTAATGCCTTATTAAATGTTTAAGAAACTAGGTTTGGGAGAACCTAAACCAATAAAAATGAGCTTACAATTAGCGAGATAGATCTATCAAATTGAGTTTGTTAAAGATCCGTTGGTTAAGGTAGATAAATTTATTTTCCAAGTTGACTTTGTTATTCTTGACATGGATGAAGATGTAGAAGTACCTTTAATCCCGGGTAGACCATTTTTGGCTACTACTAGAGCCATTTTTTGGCTACTAATAGAGCCATTATTGATGTTAGTGATGGTAAACTTGTTCTTAGGGTCGGGGATGAAGAGGTAAATTTTCTTATATCTAAATCTATGAGACACTCCCTCGAACATGATGAAAAATGCTATTTTATTGATCCTATTGATACTAGAGTTTCAGAACCTATGTAGGGAATTGTATATGATGACCCGTTGGAGCCGTGTATTATTCAAAGTGAGAAAGATGATGGAGATGACCCCATTAGAGTTAAGCAAGTGGCCCATCTAGAGGCTACCGACTTTATGGTTCTAAATAAGGCGTTTGAGAAGATTGACAAAGGTTAAGAAATGAGACTAAAACCCTCGATTGACGATCCTCCTAACTTGGAATTGAGAACTTTACTAGAATACTTAGAATGCATATTTCTTGAAAAAGATTCAAAGTTATCGATATTAATTTCTTCCAAGCTAAAGTAGACCGTAAAGAAAAGTCGTTAAATGTTGTTAGAGAGTATAAGAAGGCTATTGCTTGAAAATTTTCGGACATTAGAGGAATTAGCCCCTCTTTTTGTACCCATAAAATTTTGATGGAGGATGAATTTAAACCGGTGGCGCAACCTCAAAGGAGGCTTAATCCAAATATGAAGGAAGCTATAAAAGCCGAGGTAATTAAACTTGTTGATGCAAGAGTGATTTATCCTATTTCGATAGTTCTTGGGTAAACTATGTACGGGTTGTTGCAAAGATAGAAGGGATGATAATGGTCCCGAATGAAAAGAATGAGTTGATTCCAACAAGAACGATCCACCGTGTGGAAAGTATGTATCGAATACAAAAAGCTTAATGATGCCACTAGGAAGGACCACTTTTCCCTCTCATTTGTTGATCGGATGCTAGAGCGACTAGCTAGACACATGTATTACTAGTTCTTGGATGGTCTTTTGGGCTACTTTCGATTCCTATAGCTTGTGAAAGACCAATAATAGACTACATTCACATATCCCTATGGTACATTCGCTTATAGGAGGATGTCATTCGGGTTATGCAATGCACTTGCTACATTCCCAAGATGCACGATGGCCATTTTTTATGATATAATGGAGGTATTTATGGATGATTTTTTTATTTTTGGTAATTCTTTAGATTTATGCCTCTATAATTCGAGAAGAGTACTTGAACATTATGAAGAAACTAATCTGGTTTTAAACTAGGAAAAATGTCAATTCATGGTGTAAAAGGGCATAGTCTTAGGCCATAAAATCTCTTATAAAGGGATTGAGGTAGATAGAGCAAAAATTGAAAGTATTAAAAAACTACCTCCCTTGTGGCGCCCCGGCTCCCTTACCTATTACCTAACGAGCGTGACCGGCGTGACACACTATTGGGACTAAGTCCCCTACTTCCTCCATCGTACACAACGAAACTAAACCATGGGAAATGTATAATATAATTTACAACATTATTACGGATAGTTTCATAATTTATAACATATTCAAAATGCCTAAAAATTTACAATCTAGGCCCGTACCCCTTTTTATTGACACAAGAGATATTCCTATTTTTATGAGTGACACATGAGCCTCTTTTAACAAGAATCGATAGCATCCTCGATCGGCTTAAATTTGCCTTTGCTCGAACCACACACAAATACAATAGCGGAATGAGCCAAAGCTCGGTAAGTAGGGTGATGCACGTGATATGCAATGCTATTGTGCTTCCCATATTTTCATCCATTTTAATCCAAGTACCCTAGGTATATGCAAGTCCGTACGCCCGATCTCTCGGTGATTGTGTTATCACCTACTTGCTCTATTACTTTCTCTCGGTGATCTCAATATCACCTACTGCTCGCAACGAAATTATCCTTTGTTGTAGCACACGGTTAGCGGAATTATCCCTCGCTTAACGGTGTTAGTAAATAGAGCTCGCACTATGGATTCCTTGCTATTACCCAATCCACTCAATTTGGTTACCAAATCGTGTCAATTCAAGACTCAATGATTTTTCTCAATTTATTTCCACCCCCGATGCACATGATGCACGTGATGACATGTTTGATCACATTCAACCAAACTCGGGTACCGACCACTTCTTTCTCAAGCCATACTCATGGTCCAACCATCACTCGGGATTCACTCGGTGCTCACATACCAATCATGGTACTCATAGCAGGAACACAACCTCCGCTCATTAATATTGTTTATTAGTTTCATTAATAATTAAAGAAGGTCCAATTCTTTTTTTTCCTCTATGAAAGAATAAATTTTCTTTAAAATTTTAAAATCCTTTTTATTTCTATCTAAGTCCACTTATTTTAGCCTAAGCCCATTTTCATTAGTCTAAGCCCATCTACTTTAAAACCAAGCCTTTTGATTTTAGTCCAAGTCCATTACCAAGTTTATTTTATTTAAGTCCAAGCCCATTAACATTAATCCAAGCCCAAGTCTATTTGTTTTAATCTAAGTCCATTTTATTTTTAAATCCAAGCCCATCTCATTTTAACTCAAGTCCAAGCCCATTTATTTTAATCCAAGTCCAAGTCCATTTATTTTAATCTAAGTCCACTTTATTTTTAAATCCAAGCCCACCTTATTTTAATTCAAGTCCAAGCCCATTAACATTAGTCCAAGCCTATTTATTTTAATCCAAGCCCAAGTCCATTTGTTTTAATCTAAGTCCACTTTATTTTTAAATCCAAGCCCATCTCATTTTAACTCAAGTCTAAGCCCATTAACGTTAGTCCAAGCCCATTTATTTTAATCCAAGCCCAAGTCCATTTGTTTTAATCTAAGTCCACTTTATTTTTAAATCCAAGCCTATCTCATTTTAACTCAAGTCCAAGCCCATTAATATTAGTCCAAGCCCATTTATTTTAATCCAAGCCCAAGTCCATTTGTTTTAATCTAAGTCCACTTTATTTTTAAATCCAAGCCCATCTCATTTTAACTCAAGTCCAAGCCCATTAATATTAGTCCAAGCCCATTTATTTTAATCTAAGCCCAAGTCCATTTATTTTAGGTTAAAATTTTCCAGTAGTGGCACACCTAAACAACCTATACCAAATCAGCCATAACTCCTTAAATATTTATCTAAAACTCACGAAATTTAAGGGGAGATATTAGACATATAGATCAACAACTTTCATTCCTTAAGTTTCCTTCAAAAAGCATTCTAAAATCCTTTAATATTTCACACAAGTTTCGGAACTAAATAAACTTTTCCGATAGTTGGTCCATTCAACGACCCGTACCAAATCAGTCATAAATCCTTACATACAGATCTAAAAATCATGACATTTTATATAAATCTATTAGAAACATATATGAACAACTTTTATTCTTTGAGTTCTGCCCAAAAACCACTCTATGATCCCGAAATAAATCGCACAACTTTTGGAATGAAATATTTTTCCAGTAGAGGTTCCATTCGAATGATACATACCAATTCAGTCATAACTCCATATATATATCTCTAAAAGTCACAAAATGTTAAAGGGGCATAGTAGACACATATATCAACAACTTTCATTCTTTTCATGGTTTTCTAAAAATCACTCTAAGATGTCGAAATAAATCACACCAAGTTCGGATTTTTCCACCCCTAAAATCCAAAAATCTTCTCTTAAAGCACATTTCTCAACACACATGCTTAACCATCCATCATCAAACATCAAGTGTTTAAAATCATCACAGATACCATAATCACATTTCACATGAATTAAATAACTCATAAAATAAATATGGAAAGCATAAACAAAGCAAGAAAAAAATGAAACCTACTTACTTTGGATTAACTTTCCTAAAATCTCTTTTGCTTCCTTTTAGTTTCCCCTTCTTTTTCCTTCCCTTTCTTTCTCTTTCTCCCCTCTCTTTGACTCTTTCTTTCTTGGTTTTAAGGTAGCTACGGGATGCACCAAAAATGCATCCTTATCCCATTTTTCTTACTTAAATATCTCACCTAATCTCATCCGTTTAATGTTAATTACAAGTGTCGAGAGCTTGTGGTGAAATGCAAGGTAAATGTGGCTGAAATTAATGAAATGATGGGTTTAAATTTCAAGGAAGAAGAGGTGATGGTCAATGGAAATTTGTAGAAAGTAGGGGCCAAAATGCGATTAAATGAGGGTAATTAAATTAACTACATTTTCAGAATTCCTCCCGAAATTTCGACAATTATCACTTTTTTTTTTTTTTAATTTATACTTATTCCATATAAAAGAAATTTTCTAACTAATTTACCCAACGTTTTTTTTTATATAAATGTTGACGTACACGCGTTACTCTCAACAAATACGTACATACCACATATTCTAGTACATATGTTGACTCAGTTACTGATTTTCACGTACGTAATCGATATACTATATATACTATATATATATATATATATATGAATATCTCAATACATATACTTATATGATTACGGATTTTACGAGGGTTACATTTCTCCCCTCCTTAAAAGAAATTTCATCCTCGAAATTGACCTATTCGAATAATATCGGGTATTTTTGTCTCATCTCTTCCTCCAGCTCCCACGTCATTTTTTTGCGATCGTCATTCTCCCACATAACTTTAACTAGCTTAATCTCCTTATTCTTGAACTGTTTGACTTGAATATCCAAAATGCGGACTGGTTTCTCTTCATATGTCAAGTCGGGGGTAAGGTTCGGTATAACTGTCTCCAAGATTTGGCTAGGTTCTCCAACGCACTTCCTTAGCATAGAAACATGGAACACATTATGCACACCCGCTAAGGATGATGGTAGCAACGGGCGATATGCTTTATCGCCTACTCGATCCGATATCCGAAATGGCCCAATGTATCGGGGACTCGGCTTTCCTTTCTTTCCGAATCGTAGCACACCTTTCATCGGTGAAACCCTTAGGAACACATAGTCACCGATTTCGAATTCCGGATCTCTTCCTCTCTTGTCGGCGTAGCTTTTGTCTGCTTTCAGTTGTTTTTAGTCGTTGACGAATTTTATCCATTGCTTCAGTCGTTTGTTGTACCAACTCTGGTCCCGACAACTTTCTTTCTCCGACCTCATCCTAATGCACGGGAGATCTACATCGACGTCCATACAAAGCTTCATACGGAGCCATTCCAATTGAAGCTTGGTAGCTATTATTATACGTAAATTCAGCTAAGCGTACATATTTCTCCCATTTTCCGGACCAATCCGAACGCACGCTTGCAACATGTCTTCTAGAATTTGAATTACTCGCTCCGATTGTCCATCGGTTTGAGGATGATAAGTTATCGTTGAAGTTTAGCTTCGTGCCCATGGCTTTATGCGGACTCTTCTAAAATACAAAGGTGAACCTTGGATCTCGATCCGATACAAT